AGAATAGAAAAACATGTTTACGTCGTTACAACGCGCGCCAAAAGTTCACGTTACGCCCCTAGCAACGGCGTGTTTCCAAGGAATGAACGCATACTTTTCAACGATGCAACAACGCGTTTAAAATGCAAGCTGCAAGCTCAACTGCAATTGGCTGTAATGTTGCTTCGCTGTCGCCATTGTTATAAATAACTTGTCTCACTTATCAGATCCTGATCGTGTGTGCAATTCTTGTTGGCGGCGGAAAGTACGAAATTTATTTCAGTTATTTCATTTGGTGAGAACTCTACAAAAGAAGAGAGCGTTCAGAGTCCAGATCGTTTCGTTTCAAATGGCAATTTAATACCGTCTTCTCTTTTGCTCTCTCAGCGAAGCCTTGTAAATCGCAAAGCACTCCCTATCAGGGCTTTTCAGTGACTGGTTACATTATGAATAGCGAGATAGATAGAACCGGATTGACGTGAAGCAGACCGAGGTAGACTTTGAGCTTACAAATGGCGCTTGAGCAGCCGCTATTAGTCCATACCTCATTAATGATCTGCCTCCAGACCTATGTGCCTAACCCACCATGTCAACTTTCCCTGTGGGAGGAAACACGGAGTACCCGGAGAAAACCCACGACTTTCGGCAGAGCGTTGACTTTTACTCTTTTCACATGAGGACTGGGTTCGAGTCACATTGAGAAGTTGTCACTGAGATTCGAACCTGCGGCCTTAGAGGTGAAAGGCAAGTGCGCTAACCACTTCGCCACCGAAGCCCCATTACATATACATGCATTAGAGTGGACAGGTCACTCTGGTTTATCACATATTTTGAACTCTATGCCCTGAAAAAGGAGAAGACGTCTACGGTTGCGAGCTAAGTAAGATTCCAACAGAAAACGTTTTGATAACAATGCGGAACGTTTTGGAATTATAAGTTTTAGACATTTACAGACATTTACAGTGTTGACTTGAAACTATTTTAAAACATATTACATTGTATTCGTTAAAGTGAATTTTACGAAGCGAATTTTTTATTGTCTCAGACAAACTCGTTAGTACAAACTGTAAAGTAACTTCCTTGCTTGGAAAACTTCGTTATTGAGGCATTTCATTTTGCCAAATAAAACATCCCAATGATGTTACGCGGTTGCATTCTTTATTGAGTAAATGAAATATCTCATAATCGAAGAAATTACTTTTCAGTTCTAATAGATATGCTCCTCTTTTTAGACAAATATTTCCATTCGTATTCACTACTAGTCTGGTTTCCGCTGAATCAAAAGCAATCATATGGCGCGAAGTCAGCCTTGAATCCCCGCGCACCTAGCTCTCCCAGAGCTCTGAACGCTATTAATTACTAAAGAGCCTGGGTACGAGGCTGGCGCGAAGTGGTTATGATGATTCTTATGGTTTAACAGAAACCAGACTTGAATACTCTAAACTTGTATTAAGACACTCACTGCAGGCAGGGTTAACTATACACCTTTTCCATAATGACGCAAAACGTGGATAAACTCTTACGCCCCAGATACACCACACCGGATTCACTTTTCAATGTTTGAGCACAAAATTTCCCCCCTTGACCGTTTTCGTCTTATGTTGTCATACAATTGCAATTTGAAGTGTCAAGATATTCCTGAAACCGTTAAATTCGATGTTGTGACAAGCGAATCCGGTTTCGTGTAAATGGAGCCTTACTGCGATGTGCCAAGGGACAATTTTTAACCACAATAATTGCCGAGTCAGTCAAATTTCATGTATAATATCATTTGCATTGCGAATTGTCGCTAAAACTGTCCCATGGGACATCGCATAAGTGTTTATCCACGTTTGACCACTTCGACGCCATTATGAAAAAAATATATTGCTGGGGCAAATTTATGGTTTAAAATCACCAAATCAAGCACAAACACACATGTTCAGCAGCAACGTCAATAAAACCATTGGAAAGATACTCACACATGCGTGGTGAGTCAACTAGTTGGTATCCACTTGGTGTTTCCGCATATCCAAAAACAAGGATACAAGCACAAAGGAATCAATGGAAGAACAAAAGGACACACTATAAAGCCTGGTTCACATTGATCGGCGATGTTCTACGATCCATTGTCTGTGAGCAACGAAGAAGAAAATGCACAAAACATTTTATGCATCAATGACCACCGACAATGGGAATCGCCGATGTTTACGATCAATGTGAACCAGGCTTAAGCCAGATAGATGTGTCGATGATTTTATGCTCGGCGATTTTATGCTTACATCTACAACTATATGAACTATATATGGTCTTCTCTGCGTGTTGTTGTGTTTGTGCTTGAAAAGCAAGACGATACCTCGGAGTGACCGCTGCTTAACATAAGATAAAATATATTAATCCCTATCTTAGGGTGTTTGTTCAAGCCGGCCAGGCCGGCATAAAATTCTTACCATTATTGTTAAAAATGTATATCTGGTTAAAAGTACGTTGTTTGGAACTTGAAGCACTATTCTTGTAGGTTCTTGCGTGTTAGGTGGCCTCGAAAGCTAGCTTGGATTTTAACTGCCGCTTTATTCACTTCCGGATCGTTTAGATCAATTTCATCACTGGTTTCGTGGCTTTGTCCTACATAATACATTATGTCAATTAAGTTCTAATCTGAAGGTACGTTTACACTTGGCATATTTTCTTGGGAACAGGAGAGTGTGCCCAACCACGCACTCTAAAAACACTGAGGTTAACATTTCTGGTTAAACATTCGGATTAACCTAGAAATAACCCTACTTGGGTTAACTGAATATTCCTGGTTATTTAACCTTTTACCTCGTTATTTTAACCTATTGCCTAGATAATTTAACAATGACTTCCTGAAGAAGGTAAGAATATAGATCAGATTTTGGATTTAGAAACCAGTCCTCTGATCGATCTGGACGTAATTCAACCAAATTTGCCTTGAATTTGGAGAGGCTAAGAAATTTGGATCAAATTTGATTCAGTCCGCCAATAGACCTTATGCATAAGGACGTCACAAGGCTTGATGCCCGCGAGGAATGCTGGTATTAGTAGTCATCGCCCGGGACAATTAAACAATTCAAAATGGCCACTATTTAAATTTTACTACTAATACCAGCACTCCTCGCGGGCATCAAGCCTTGTGACGTCATTATACACAAGGTCTATTCGAGCTTTTCGAGGTGGACTACAAAAGGACTCGGATTGAATATGCTCAAATTTGAACAAAGTCGCCTTCGGCTTTAAAATGGTGATAATGTTCACTGCAAATGTGAACTTCCCGTCTTACTTCAACATCTCAGAGATCGTCACGGCGAAAAAATCCTCACCATTCTTGCCAGTAATGGTAACTTCATATTTCCAGAAAAAATCTTAATTTCTAGTTTCCGCTGTTGGGGAAGAATGAATGAATTCACCGTACCTTGAGATGATTTGAGTTGTTTCCTTGCCATATGTCCTCGGAATCCTGCTTGGATTGCGGTTGCTGCTTTTTCCACTTCGGGATCATTCACGTCAATGTCAACGTCATCGGGCTAGATAATAAAGAAAAGAAACGAACTCGCATAAATTAGGATATTGGAAACAAAAATCGTGTTCGTTGGTGATCGTTTAAAACGACCGTGATTTCACCGACACCGTGTGACACGGTGTTGAAATCTGATTGGTGGTGAACAGTACAATTATTTTATTCATTCTACATGTACCAAAGTATGTTCCCCTGTTGTTATTGCCTGTGCAGTGTTTTCCATCTAAATCGTCTTGGAGTTGATTGGCATTTAGCTCATTTTTTTATTTCAGATTTTTGCACAGCGATAACAAACCATTTTCACTGTGATTATAGAGCTTTGGATTTTGATCATAGATTTTTGCACTGTATTCTGTACTTGCATATTGATTACAGATTTTTGTGTTTGTGGTAACATATTTTGTATTGTGAGTAATGTGAGAACAGTTTTGTTGACTGTGATTTTTGCACTGCGATTGGAGATTTTTGCATTGTGGTTACAGGTTTCTTCACTGCCACAACAGATCCTTTTTGGTCGTTTGTCACTGTGATTACAGATATCTAGACTGTGAAGACGGATTCCTTGAAATTCAGCAGACGAAAAACGTTTGTTTCATAAAGTATTAGACACAATTCTGATTCTATAAATAGACGTCGTGAAAGATGGAATTTATCTTTGCGCATGCATGAGTGATATACATGATAATTTACGGACGGCGTATTGGTACATTTATGATACTAATTCATGTAGGGCATCCTTTCTTGGTCCAGTCTTACAAAATGTTGTCATCACCTTGTTCACATCATTTCGAGGGTCTTCGACTGGCCCAAAACCTGCATTATTTATGAATCGTTCACACAGAACCAAACTAACGCCCGTATTCTAAAAGCTCACTCGCACTCACACTCAATGAGTGGAGGTTCAATCTGAGCTTCTCTTAAGTGTTAATGCTGTTTTTGAATAGCTGGGGGGCTAGTATCATACCTTACTCGGTGACTACTCACCCTCCAGCTATTCAAAAACAGCATTGACACTCAAGATAAGCTCAGATTGAAGCTCCACTCATTGAGTGTGAGTGAGCTTTTAGAATACGGGCGTAATTGTAGGGCCAAGATAATTTAAATAATTTACATATGTAAATATAAATTATTGTATCATACTCTTGCATTACACGTTGTTGAACAACCGGTATTCTTTTTTCGGCTGGTTTAATGTGTTTAACACGATCATGAAAAATCCTGCAAACTTGAGTATCGATTCTAGAGTGAAGTAATTAAGTTAATTTACAATGACTACCTAACAGCAGAGAATGCATATAGTTTGTGTGCCCCCAGGGCCACCGAAAGGTTGCGCGGGATCCGGGGCAAAACTTTCCAAGGGGGACTCTATGACGTCATAATTGTAAAAGGGGAGCAGCGGTGTTTTACAATATATTACACTTTATTACATAATATCCTATATACTAGTTCAACCAACGGCATCCTACTTCATGTAACCAAAAGTAAAACTTTTACATCAGAGATGCTAATATGTGGAACACTCTTCCCGGCTTCATAAGAAATACCACCACATCTCTAACTACATTTAAATTTAATCTAATGAATATTACGTAGAATTAACCCAACAAATTTATGATCCTGAAGATCCATTTAAGTCTGTTTGTATTAAATATCACACCACTCGCCCACTAAAGAACTTATCAACTCGAACATGTTGCTAAATTTAGTTTTTGTTCGTTTGTTCGTCAATACGTTTGCTTTGTCTTCTTGTATTTGTGTTTAATTGTTATCTTTGCTTTAATTTCAAAATAATTAGATATACCATAAGTTGTTCTTTTTTGGAACCCCGTTATTGGAGAACTATCTCTGTGTGGAAATTCCAGTCATTTGTAACCATAGTACTCTATTACGGATCTATTGCAATGGCAAACTTGTAAAATAAAATGTCCGACACTAACGCAGCTGTGATTTATATTTTTGTTAAGCAATCTTGTATCAAGAAATTTTAAGGATCTTCGTCGCTGCGGTGGTCCTTTTTGAGCTGTGGCCCTGGGGATCATTGGCGATGCACTTTTGAATCCACGCCTAGCTGCACTTTTCCCATTTCCCGTCGGTTCGGGGAATACACGCATTGTTTCCACAAAGCAAAACATTTATAATACATTTCAGTAAGGGGCGGACCATTAGAAAAGTGATGGGGTGGGGGGGACTTTTTTAACTTGTACGAATATTTTTTTAAGTATTTTTGCTTGTGTCGATAATTTTTAAAAAATATAATCCCTTGCACGAATTTTTTTATTTCAACTTATATGTGTAAGCTGGTTAATAATTGCTACATTCTATATTCTCTATTTAATGTTGATAAAACACAAAAGCTCCGCAGGCACTAAATGAATGCTCAATTTTAACGAGCAAAAATGAATCAACGACGTTATGACCAACTTCACTATCAGAGCAACGCTCCCTACCCTTAACGTTTTCATAAAATAATATAATTTTTGGACAAGGGCAGGGATAGACTTGCCAAAAGTCCGCCTCAGAATTTCCCCCTAACTTTATTGGGCAAGTAAAGACGAGCGAGAAATAAAAATGACATCATTGAGAAGAACTTTGCGAAAGTGTCCACTTGTCAAGGAAAGCTGCTCGTCTAGCTGTAGTATATAGATACGGTAAATAATTTAGTATGTATATAGTTGTTTGCTCTGTTCACCAATTCGCATGGAAATGCATGACATACAGTATAGTAGCTATATTTAAGATCTAAGAGTGTCCTAAGTTCTAAATACACAATATTATTACCAATGCAAGAGACCAAGCACTCAATAAATCGAAGTTCTGAATGAAAATCTCATGCATATTGCAGCATAATATAAAGTATAGACAGAAGGAAATTTTGCACTTATAATTTATATCTAAAACGTATTCATGGCTGTAAATGTTCCCCAATATAATTTGTGGAATTAGTATGCCAAATTCACAACTGCGTGCCTATATAGGCTACAACGCTTTTCTGATAAGCAAAAATAGTAAATATTATTTTAGGCATAAGGCTATGAATTTATTAATAATATATTACGCGAATTACTGGCTTTATTTCGCGGCTGCTATTTTCTTTTAACGACTGTATATTGTCAAACAAAAACAGAGATACAAACTTAGCGAATAAAGCTCCCTAAACTAGATTTACAAAATATATCTTCATCCAGTTACACGTAAACATTGATATAATTACAAACAAACGCATACAACCAATACAATCGCATGCATTTTATACGGCTGTTGTATTTTGCATATTATCGGGACATCATACAAACTAGAGGCAACCACAATGTCTCCTAAAACGTGCGATAGGGAAGCTGTGACAATCAGTTACATCGTGGAAGAAATATAAAACTAAATTTAGGGCAAGTGCTTAGATAGATAGGCACAGGATAAGAAAATAAAACAAGGCAAAACATTGAAGAATATTATTGTGTGGACAACAGCTGCGTGCAGTAAAAATACTTTGATCACCTGTGCGGGTTTCGGCACATCATCTGATTTTAGTTGTGACTTTTCCTCCGTAACTGTCGTCTCAGTTTTCTCCTCCGATGTCGTCGTTTCTGAAATGCGGACAGTTTTCGATTCCTTGTTCGTCTTTCCCTTCTTATCTTTTAGCGAGGATTCCTTTTTATTCCCCGTGGTTTCGTTCGCATTCGCTTCATCCGCGTTTTCAACTTGACCGTTCGCTGTTTGTTCGTTTTTACCTTTCGCCTCGGTGCTGTTGTTTTTTACTTCGTCCGTTTTCGCCGCATCATCTTCTTTCCCTAAACTAGCGCTCCGAGAATGACACTTCCCCATGTCCGTTCGATAACTGAATTTCGTTGATCAGCTGGTCTGGCAACTGCCGTCGGACACGCCTTCACATACAAGAGATCTATTGCACGTTGCCTATTCATTACAATAAGGCGCTCACGTCACTGCAGCTTGCCCATCAATGATTCAGTAGCGCAGTTCCGTGTCTTGGCACAAAAACCCTTTGATAATTTATTTAATAATCTCTGGTCAACACGTGTTGAACGAACAAAACAGCGACAGCAACAATAACACGAGACTAACAGCATGAAAACCTCAAATTTTTCCAAGTCCCCCAAAGCGCTCCATTTATGGAAAAGTGGGTTTCGGCACACTTTTATGAGGGAAATTAAGCATATACATATATTATGGGCCAAACCTAACTACATCACCGATCCAAAAGTAAAAAAAAATATGTTGAGGTTTTATTAGTGGTAAATACAACGAAAGGAATGTATCTATATATATATATATATATATATATATACTAACCTCCTGACTATTGCCGGAGGAATGGCCTTTACTGGAAACGTTGAAGTGTTTTTAGTATTGAGGTATATAGCTCTGAGCCAAAGCACAGCTGCTGCCTATTGTATAATACTATACATATACCGGACCCCCACGTTTGAGATGTCATCGCCGGAGTGGATACAAGGTTTTATTCAATAACTGAGCGTGCATGCTACTATAAGGGAAATGTAGGCGGAGGATTCGGCCTATCCCCCCCCCCCCCATCCTTGGCTCGCTTTAAAAAAATCATTCCATAGTTTCATTGTATCAAACAATGACAAATCACATAATCTTTTCCTATCGCTACGTGATGACCCGCGAAACTGAAGCGTTATTATTGATTCTACAGAGTCTTGTCCAAGGTAGTATAATATTTATATTCTTTATAGAAAGACGAGCCAAAAAACTAACACGAATCTAATGAATTGGTGAACAAATATAATTACGAGAATATATTGCATTCAGCTGATACAAAACATACACAGTAGTTCTATGGAAGTTAAAGTATTTACTTTGACTTACTACATATGTTTTTCTATGGAGTGGTGTATGAACCTATTCCTGCCAGTTTAGCTACCTGCATGTAGATATACAGTACTTGGCATGCGTTTGAAAACATGCGAAGAAAGTTACCGCGAAGCAAATTAATTAGTTTCTTGTCTGTTTGCCAATTTGCTCCATATGTACATTACTTTATATTACACTTCTTTACAGAAGTGATAAGTGAAAAAAATCTGACTGCATGGTATATAGCTATATAGTCAGCTTGTCTGTTAAACGATTTCCTTTAAGCTGAATAATACTTTCACAACAAATGTTGCATGTAAACAATATAAAATATAACGAAATTATGCTTGTGTGCATGGTCTGTGTTATATTTTATAATCTACTACTGTATATATGCTTCACATAACTATGGTCTGTGGAGGCAGTGATAGTTATAGTCCAGTTATATATATATGGACACTAATTCTTGGGTCGTTACAGACCATAGTCTCTAGACGTACTGTATGTACATGATCTAACTGGTTGTATATAACGAAAATTAAAACATCCCTTCTCAAAGCTTGCACTAATGCAAGATAACTTGAACTCAGTAGGATAACCAACATAACAACAATACACATCTTTTAGATGCTTTCAAGTGGACTACATGAAGCCACAGTAATTACAATAAGCACGACAGACTGCACTAATTTACAACATCCATCATAATTATATTTGTACACTTTGACTAAAAATGACGTATAGCGCCCATAACTAGCGATTGTGGTCAACAGACCGCTTGCATTCTATGCATGGGGCTAGACCAATTTACCTAATTTGGGGAGAGATGTATACATGAGATCTGAAAAAAGCTAAAGATGTATTATTCAGTAGCAATTATATAAGTTTAGGCAAAATAATTTACTTAAATTAAGCATTGAAGCTTAGTATGGACTATATTGACTTAGGAATATCAAAGATGCATGAGTTCTTCATTTAGAATGAAGTTGCATAGTGGGATTCCAAATGTTTCCATGCTAATAATGTTCAGTAATTTAGGCCTTTCGACGTCGAATTCGTTGAATTTAATGCAGCTAACTTTTCTATTCGATCTCTCGAATGGACATTTCAAATGGTTTTCTACGACATATCCGTTGACTGCTCGCCACTGACAAATCACAATATTTTGCTCGACCTCGCTCAATAATTGTATAATATTTACCTTAGGACCAAAATATTCTTATTTGCTTGGGTCAATACTGTACATAAACTCTATAGTTTTTAAACTTGAACAGAGCCATAAATTGAAATAATAAAACTACTGTATAAATTATATAGAACAAAGGTTTGATGAATTACTGCGCATCAAGTGGAGGCAAAGGAAGTCCATGAACAATTTGCCACGTCTTTCAAGTTCCAGGAACTTACATTACATGATCGAGGACTGAAATCAGATATTTCCGGCCTGAACATTAAACTATTCTGTAAAACTAATCTAACTTTATTTTATATTAATGGATACTTCCACCATTCGAAAACGTTCATTCGAGAGGTGCAGTAGAATCCGAATCTCTTCTTTGTGCAGTGTCAATATATACGGGGGAATAGGAGTGCAGAATGATATACATGGTCCAACTGGAAGTACTCTGAAACGAATTTCTGTGCCACTGAAACGAATATATTGCAGGAAATGGACCCCCCGGTCGCAGTATATAGTGAAAGGCAAAGAGCCACTTCCTAACCACACAAACTATCAAATAATGTTATATAGGGTTGTTTTTACCTTTTGTTGTTGACTCGCTAATTCCTTTCTCGTTTTGTAGCCACGGTAACCAGCTTGAATGGCGACAGCAGCATCTTGAACTTGCGGATCATCCAAATTGATACCCTCTGGCACCTCTTCATCATTTCCTTCTCTCAAATCTTTACGAACTTTATGCCCACGATATCCAGCTTGAATGATCTTTGCCGCGTTTTCTACCTCAGGATCATTCAGGTCTACCTCGCTTGTACTTGCAGCATCCGTACGTTCCTTGTGTCCTCGATATCCCGCTTGAATAATACTAGCTGCTTCTTGGACATCGGGATCGTTCAAATCAATATCAACACCGTCATCTTTCATCTCACGGAGCTTAGCGACCTCTTGTCTTGACTTATGACCGCGAAATCCAGCTTGAATAAGAGTAGCAGCATTCTGCATTTCGACATCGTTTACATCGATGTCGTCGGTTTGGTTTTCGTGGATCTGATTTACTTCCGTACGGGCTTTGTGCTCACGATAACCAGCTTGGATGTTTTTCGCAGCGTTTTCAACATCCGGGTCATTCAACTCAATCCTGTTGACATCTCCGTCCACAGCATTTCGCATTTGGTCCGTTTCTTGACGGCTTTTGTAGCCTCTGAAGTTTGCTTGGATTTTCACGGCCGCATTACTCAATTCAGGGTCATTCAAATCCAGATCATCGCCTGTTGACACTTCGTTCTGCTCCGTTCGATTTCGTTCTGCTCTTGCCTTAATCCCTCGGAACCCAGCCTGAATCGCAACAGCGGCCTTCTGTACTTCAGGGTCGTTTAAGTCGATATCAGGATCATTTTCGCGTTCTTGCCTGATTTCTTCGACTTCTCTCCTTGCTTTATATCCACGGAACTGGGATTGGATTTTAACCGCAGCGTTGCCAACAGCAGGATCGTTTAGATCAATGTCAACGTCTTCGCCTTGATTCATACGTTCCACAACATGCGATCGCTTTGCGTCATCTCGGCCTGTGGCTGAAAGAAAATTAAGCGTTAGGTTAATATTAGCGAGCTTAAGATCTACAACGCGAACTTACGACGCGGACGTCGCGTTAAACAAGTTTTATTTTAAAACGATGGCAAATACCATTAAAATATTTTTATCACAGTAAATAAAATGAAATTATACTGGAAAAAATGTACAACATAACAGAGGCTAGCAATATATTAAGAAGATATTTTTTATCATAAGTTTTTACGACTTCTATGACGACGAATCTTTGCAAATATCACGTCGCCTCGGATGGTAGTTTTGGCGGGAAAATGTGCATTCGTAACAATAGTCTATAAAGCCTGGTTTCTATCATTTCGTATGGCTGTTAACGTGTCATAACAGTGTCACAAATCTCGCAGAAATAAACTGTGACAACTCTGACTAGGCTTACACTCGAAAACTAGGCTTAGCTAAGCACGTCCGCGTCGTAAGTTCGCGTTGTAGATCTTAAGCTCGCTAATGTTTGAAAGAAAACATCTTAAAAGCCAAATATAAATTATATAATACTCGATGTGAATTTATAACTTGATTAAACTGTAACAGTTTGTCAGCATGTTAATCTATATTTCAAGATATCAGTTTGCTTCTAGTCAGTTTATTTGATCCAGACATATTGCCTTTTAATTTTTTGACAAAACTGTTTATGTTTTAGCACTAATTTCACATATCTTATATGAGCTAGTAACATTTATAGCAGCTCAAATAAAAAATAACCAAGTGCCTGGACAGACGGGAGTTATTTCGTATTTTGTAGCAATATAAAAACTTTTGTTTGCGGTTATCTTCACCAAGTTTGTCGTTAGCTCAAGCGGTAAAGGCGCTGCGTACCGAAAGTGAAACGCAGTCGGGGTGGGGATCGATGCCGAACATTTATTATCTGATTTAGCTATTTTTCTCAATTTTTGGTAATTTTTTTCTTCCTTCCTTTTTTAACTCTTTTAAAGTTAGGCCGGTTAGTGTTTGGGATCGGCATAAAATCTAAAGTGCTTTAAAAAAGTTTTAATCTTTTTTTATCTGGTTGAAAATGTTTGAATATTGAGTTGCGAACTCAACCGCTGGTAATTCTAATTGTGATCGCGGGCACTGACAAAGAACGCCCGGGATGTAGTAAAATCCTTGACAAACACCGACTTGAAAAAATATCGGAGGTGTGATGATCTATCCCTTGATGCTTTGCGCGCGTGGCAAGAAAACTAGACACCAGTCTGTCAGTCGCGCACATTGCGGTAATATATTATTCATTTAATCTTAGAAAATAAATAGTCCCAGTATTAAATTCTCTAATCTCTATTAATAAATGTCTATGAGTAAAATACGATATAGGAATAGTGTAGTTGTATAAGAAATTAAAATTCCTATAAGAATTCTTATAGGATATGATAATGGTGAAAAAATTCCTATAAGAAATAGAAATTCCTGTAGGAAGGAGTTATTTCGTAAATTATATTTATCTGTATAATTTTTTATATAAGTAAAGTTCTTATACCCATGCATGTATCAGGCCATAGTGGTAGAGGCTATGAATTTTTCCCACCATTTTCCAATCCTATAAGATTCCTATAGGAATTTTTATTTCCTATAGGATTTTTTTTCACCATTTTCAAATCCTATAGGAATTCCTATAGGAATTTTCAATGCCAATAGGAATTCCTATAGGAAATTTCAATTCCTATAGGAATTCCTATAGGAATTTTTTTGACCATTTTCAATTCCTATAGGAATTCCTATAGGATTTTTTTTCACCATTTTCAATTCCTATAGGAATTCCTATAGGAATTTTCAATGCCAATAGGAATTCCTATAGGAAATTTCAATTCCTATAGGAATTCCTATAGGAATTTTTTTGACCATTTTCAATTCCTATAGGAATTCCTATAGGAATTTTCAATTCCTATAGGAATTCCTATAGGAATTTTCAATTCCTATAGGAATTCCTATAGGAATTTTGATTTCCTATAGGAATTCCTATAGGAAATTTTCGTAAGGGCAATTACCTAAATATACAGGAACTTACGGTTAAAGCTCAACAGCTGGCCTCTGTAGCTCAGTTGGTTAGAGCGCTGAACCGAAATCGCAGGGCCGTAGGTTCAATTCCTGCCTTGGACCTTGTGCTGCAGTTTTCGCAGTCGTTCCTGGTTAGGTCTTAAAATGTATATATTCTCACTTGGATTACAAACCCTAACATTCTAATAATAGGGAGTTTAAGATCTTGACGACGAACTACCGACTACGTTTGAAATAGTTTTTGTCGTATGTATGCAAATACTAAATGCTTGTCATAACAAATATATCCCAAGAAGAGGGCATTCTGCTTGACAATCGTGTGTATGGATTCAGGATGGAGATCAAGATCGAACAAACTGGCAATATTTTGATGGCTGCTTATTAAAGAATAAAGGTTAAAGATTAATGCGAAGTATTTTCAATCAGTAAGGTTAGGTAATAGTCAAAGGGCTATAGCCTATAGGTATTGCAGCGCGCAATCAGTTATTATTTCTTTAGTATACGGTATGCTAGATACCACGTTTATCAAGCAAGCTATCACAACCGCGAGTTGATTGTACTATATTCGTTATTTAATATACTCATTTCTGTATTTTGATACAAGGTAGCACAAGACAAATAATATTTATTTATATATATATATATACCGGGTGGCGCAAAAAAAGTTCGGGCGTAACCGGGGCGTTTGATCTACCATAGCGAAAAAACTATAAGAGCTATACATCGCTCAAATAAATGTAGCTGTATTCATAAAAG